TATATATATATATATATATATATATATCAGAAGTAGATAATTTATATACATATATCTATATATATATAATTTATAAATATATATATATATAGTTATGTGCATTCAGCAGAGGTTTCTTCTAATTTAAAACCATGAAAAACACCAACCACACCCCGTTACAATGTTAACCGATACAAACTGCACCCACGACTTTGTCGATGAATGCAATATCATACCGGCACATTGGCACGCAGCCAAAAATGCAATAACGCAAATTCTATAACGCTATATGTACCACTATAACTGATATTTCACAGACAGAGATCTGTGTTCGTTTCCCGGTTCCGCTACGTTGCTTACACACAACTACAACTCGACTACAACTTTTTGTCATTCAGTCACTCATGAAATAACCAACGCTGGCAAAAACCATACGCCTAAATTTTACTCCAGCAGAGCAAATAACAAACGAGTCCAAGCCAAGCCAATATTTACATATTGCTATACTGGGTAAATGCCTAATGGAGCAATCCTTTCCGTCTAACTAATATGCTATTCTACTTAGAAACCCCTTCGTGTAAAACCCACGCACAAAACATCCCTAACGCATTGCCGTTCTCCTTGCACGTGACTTTAAAATAACACGCCATTGCAAGGTACCACCGATTGTACATATTTACAGTTCAGCTACGGGACTGACATCTCTACCACCGACAATACACCCAACACGGACACGTCCACCTACGTGCCCTGTTGGTAAACGAAACTTCGAGGGCTTGGCAAAGCTGCATATAAGTAAGTGCACCACGTACCACGCTGCACTCTCACGGTATTAGCTGTGACATCACACATTTGACATACACACTGACAATCCTGCCACTGTTACGGTGGTGCTTCCTTCGTGCATGTTAATACAGTCGGTGCATAACCACCCAGCATGGGACTGCCAATAATTATTTCACATTTGACATACACACTGACAATCCTGCCACTGTTATTACGGCGGTGCTTAACCACGCAGCATGGGACTGCCAATAATTATTTCACATTTAACAAAGGCATTAGAATGGACGACCGGGTTTACCGACGGGGTGTGTAGAAGATGCCTCTCCTCTCGCTCACTCTCTCTCCCTAGCTCCCCCTTCTCTCTCTCTCTCTCTCTCTCTCTCTCTCTCTCTCTCTCTCTCTCTCTCTCTCCTCTCGCTCACTCTCTCTCCCTAGCTCCCCCTTCTCTCTCGCTCTCTCTCTCTCTCTCTGTCTCTCGTCTCTATCTCTAGATCATTGTCGACAATACTAATACAATCCGTAACTAACATACGACTGCTCCCCTATCACATTCTGACTAGCTATATCACACAACTATTGGGAATGTTCGAATGGTGAATCAATAAACTTGGTGCGTGCTTACACGTGTGCTTCCAAATTGCAGCGCTTCAAACCAAATGCCATAACGTAAAAAGTAACATACACGTCGAAGGCGTCTACGTCCGATAGGTTTGTTTGCTGATGGACGACAAAATAGAAGCTGAAATCAAAGTAGAGTAGCAATCAATCATCCTTCCTACCCCATGGGAGTATACTGCTTGTTTCTCATTATTCCTGTAATTAGCACAAGATGCTACAGCGATTCGGCTAAATGTGAAAACAACAGCAAGCTGTTACCTTGTCTGTACTCGGCCCTCATCCACACCCGTTCTGTCCAAGCTGGCATCAGCCGGTTGTGGCTTATTCGCAAAGTATTTACAATTTTAGACACATGCAGCATTATTAACTGATGATAGCTGCTGGTGCCAGCAAAACCAAAGGAAGAGCTTGCTACGATGCAGTGCATGTTAGGTGCATGCTAGTTAGGTTGGAGACTTCCCACACTGCAGTTAACCGAGTTTTGAAATGGAACGAAGATAGAAATAAATAAACACACTCGACATTGTTATGCAAGGCCATAGTTACCGGTCTGACAACCCGTCTGCACGGAACACACGCGATTCCCCTACACGATAACCAACGCACGCACAGACACGAAACAGATAACCGTGCGCTTATGTCTGAGAAATTTAGTGTACTGTTACTAAGATGGGGGAATTTATTAAATGCTGCTATACATCATCACCTGCTGCACTTTGAAAGGAGGCTGAACTCTCTACTCTTTGTACTAGAATACAAGCAGATGCACGTGCTGGTGAACTCGTGGGAAGGCGCAGCGGTCTTCCAGCCAATCGTACCTCAGCTGCTGACGACCGACCGATCGCTGCCATTATTCTCATTGTTACCGCGATTTAATGTAATTGTAATTTGTAATTGTAAGTTACACGTCCCCGTGATGCACGCGCTTCACGCTGTCTCGCTCGTGTCCGGCTGCACCTCAGCTGCTGTTGACTGAGTGGCTGCGGCTGTTGTTGTTGCTAGTGCCGCCGTGTAGGAGCAGAATGCTGCTGTAGATCTTGATCGCTGGCCCGAGCCGCACGTTGAGTATCTTGACGATGTCAGCCTGCGCCAGCAGCAGCAGCGCCTCCCCGTCAATTTGCTGCGGAAACGACGAAGCAAACGTGACGTCATGCTATCGACTCGTATATCGCGATATCGATAATTGCTTAGTCGCATTAGAAGCACACAACGTCAGAGGAACCTTCAAAATTCATATGGTTCTATATATTATTTATTTTTTACGTTTCATAAAACGTTTGGTATTTGAGGCCACGCAACCGCTCCTTAAATGCTGAATTTCGCAGGAACAAATCAGACCTTCAAGGCTGTTCACACTAGGTACCCTAGAGTCACCCAACTTCAAAAATCAATTCGATATTAGTAAGCACACTTAGCCGCTCGTCACTTGCTCGTACCTCTTCCTTGAACATGAGAGCGTGCTGCTCGCAGCCAGGCAGACGCCTGATGAACCTGACGACATCATCGACCGACCAGCCAGCGACCTCGCGCACCTCACACTCGTTGACGGCCGGCAGCAACTTAGAGTGGTTCTCCCAGCCTAGCGGGAGGTCCTGCGGGAAGAAACGATCCCTGAATGAAACCCTAGGAAAAAACGATCCCTGAAGGAACCCCAGGAAGAAACGATCCCTGCAAGAACCCCAGGAAGAAACGATCCCTGAAGGAACCCCAGGAAGAAACGTTCCCTGAAGGAACCCCAGGAAGGAACGATCCCTGAAGGAACCCCAGGAATAAACGATCCCTGAAGGAACCCCAGGAAGAAACGATCCCTGAAGGAACCCCAGGAAGAAACCCCAGGAAGGAACGATCCCTGAAGGAACCTCAGGAATAAACGATCACTGAAGGAACACCAGGAAAAAACGATCCCTGAAGGAACACCAGAAAGAAACGATCCCTGAAGGAACACCAGGAAGAAACGATTCCTGAAGGAACACCAGGAATAAATGATCCCTGAAGAAACCCCAGGAAGAAACGATCCCTGAAGGAACCCCAGGAAGAAACGATCCCTGAAGGAACACCAGGAAGAAACGATGCCGGAAGGATCCCCAGGAAGAAACGATCCCTGAAGGAACACCAGGAAGAAACGATCCCTGAAGGATCCCCAGGAAGAAACTATCCCTGAAGAAACCCCAGGAAAGAACGATCACTAAAGGAACCCCAGGAATAAACGATCACTGAAGGAACACCAGGAAGAACGATCCCTGAAAGAAACCCAGGAATAAACAATCCCTGAAGGATCCCTGAAGGAACCCCAGGAAGGAACAATCCCTGAAGGAACACCAGGAAGAAACGATCCCTGAAGGAACACCAGAAAGAAACGATCCCTGAAGGAACACCAGGAAGAAACGATCCCTGAAGGAACCCCAGGAAGAAACGATCCCTGACGGAACCCCAGGAAAGAACAACCTGCGGGGGGGGGGGAATGAGACACACTCAAAGAAACTATCAGCTCGTTCGTCGCGCATTCGCCACGTGATTCTCGAATCGTGCTAAGAACCGTTATTTGTTTCTCGCATCGGGCTCCGAACCGCGATAATATCATGCAGATTTAGGAAGAAAGTATATCTCACACATTATATATAGCATTGTAATTGTACTGTATCCGTCAGAAATTTTATCATTTTAATTACTCGACACTATTGCTTTTATCAGATTTTTTCTCCGTGAGAAAAACTGTCGTCAGTACATGTATTTGTATCTGAATTCATGCAATAAAGATTTAATAATAATCATAATACCTCGTTAGTTTGGTTAATGGGAGGCAAGAAGACAGAGTGATGTAATAATCTCTCTAACTCAGTCTGCTCATCATCTTTTGGCTCACTAGGTGGCGTTGTTGACTTCTGCTCGCGCTTTACACGCCTCAGTAGTAGCAGATGCCGTCGTCTGAAAAGTCACAAATTGCTGTAACCTCGTAACCTCGTAAATAATAGTCTTCAAAGTCTAAGGGACTATATCGAAGGCGAAAAGAGATAAAGTTGCTCAAATAGACAGATCAACACTGCGGATGGCATTAGAAAAAGCCTCAAATTTGCAATTCAATAAAAAGGAAGGGAGAGTCACAATAGGGAATGACAGAACCAAAGAAACTAAACTTAGGGATCCTGAGAAGATGGCACATGTTGAAAGCAATGATCACATTCAAATGATTGAGTGCAACGAACAGGCTTTATCAAGCAAAAGGGAATGCCAATCAAGCAAGAGGGAATGCAAAGAGGGTATCATGATGATTTCAGAGGTTCCAAGCATCTGTGCATGTTGATAGGCCAGCGTTTGTACACGTGCATAATTCAGAAGCTGTTGATCGATAAATAGGTTCGACTTACACTGCTAAAAAATCTTCTGCGACTGTTTTCAACATTAAAGATAACAATTCGCAACATAGACGCAAACACGGATTATACCTGCTAATAAAGTTTAACTCAGTTAGATCCAAATTAAGTTAAAAATAACTTACACTGACGAAATTCCTGAGGAAGTCTATCAGAGAGATGGACGAAAATTTCGTCAGTGTAAGTTAATTTTAACTTAATTTGGATCTAACTGAGATCAACTTTATTAGCATGTGAACTATAGAGATCCGATGAAATTATTCAATCACAGGTTATACCGTCTCCTGCCTGGTCTTCCACGCTTCCCAGTCAGAGAGTCAGTCAACATGTTGACGTCTTCGGTCATCTCGTTGTTGACCTGTGCTTGCTGTTGCGCGAGTGGACAGCCAGAGAGCTTGTGATGTGTGGTCCACTTGCCCGTTATATGGCCTGAACCATCACAGTCTGGATACGGGCATTTTCCGCTAACACGACAGAAGCCAGAGGTGTGGATGTTATTGCGAAAGACCCTATACTGGTATCGCTGCATAGAACACATTACACGAAACGAACAAAAACACTTGAAATTTGCACACAAAAATAAATAACTTAACATTCTGTGACAACTTTAGCTATGTAGACAATCTTCTTGACACAATTTTCAACATGTCAGACGTGTGTATAGCACCTCTACTTCTCTATGAATTATGTTTCCTGACAGGTCCACCTGTCTATCTGTCACACTTTTGGCATTTGCTTTCAGTGACCCAGTAAACAGTGGCAGTGACCCAGTGACAGTGAGAGTGAGAGTGAACAGTGTGACCCATTGACTCTATGTACAGGATCGACTGATGAAAGCTCGGCGACTTACACCTCATTGAGCTGTGCGCTTCTCCTATTCCTTCCCATAATTTATACGGAATACAGAAACCTCGGCTACTTACACCTCCATTGAGCTGTGCGCTTCTCCTATTCCTTCCTGGAATTTATATGGAATACGGAAACCTCGGCTACTTACACCTCCATCGAGCTGTACGCTTCTCCTATTCCTTCCCGGAATTTATACGGAATTTATACGGACTACAGAAACCTCGGCTACTTACACCTCCATTGAGCTGTGCGCTTCTCCTATTCCTTCCCGGAATTTATACGAAATTTATACAGAATACGGAAACCTCGGCTACTTACATCTCCATTGAGCTGTGAGCTTCTCCTATTCCTTCCCGGAATTTACACAGAATTTATACAGAATACGGAAACCTCGGCTACTTACATCTCCATTGAGCTGTGCGCTTCTCCAGCCTTGCTGTCGGCAACCGAGTCTCGCGTCGGACCCATCCTGTCCAGCAGTCCGAGACCAATGCTCATCTTGTTCATGTTGAGTTCCGAGTAGGGGCAGCCGAACGCGCTGTGGTGGCCCGTGTACTTGGCACCCTTGATGTGACCGATGCCCTTGCATCCGGGCGTCGGGCATCCGGAATTCTGGCCATTCTCGACGAGGTCAAGCGGAGCTGAGCGACAGGGAGAGAGAGCCGGAATGTAAGAGGAAATCCCGGAAGGCAACGAGGAACTTCCTTTGTGAGTATGTCATGTGTGTACGTATGTAGTTTGATCGGCACTGAAGGCCTAATATTTATATATCTATATGTAAATATATAATATATAAGCACACACATGCACGCACACACGTATATAATGGTACACAAGAATGAAAATAACATCCCGACAGAAAGAATACAAATGCAACTGAACACGTAACGCTCACAGTGACACATCTGGCTTAGCACTACAGTGAAGCATAAAGGTCTACGAGCTGGACGTATAGAGAAAAAATTTACAACAATTTACAAATTTTAAGACATCTGTTGTGGAGCACAGACACCAGGCCAGACAGCAGTGAGGGATGCTACTCCGAGGGGGGGGCAGGGGCGGATCCAGAGGGTTTGGGTGACCAGTTTCCATAGTTCTAGTCACAGCTAGGGGGGTCCGGGGGCATGCCCCCCGGTAATTTTTAAAAAATTAGGCTATATTTGGTGCATTCTGGTGAATTTTGATGGTCAATTCTGAAGATACCCAGCCTGTGACCGGTTTCTGGAAACCGGTGCAAACCGGCCTAAATCCGCGCCTGGGGGGGGGGGGGACTTGTGTGCATACACTCACTGATCGGTGGCGTAATCGTGTGGCCAGTCTTGGTGCACCAGCCGGCCGGGTGTATGTCCGGGCAGTCGTCGTCGATCCAGTAGTCGTACACCTCGCTCCAGCCATCAAAGTGCAGCTTGAGCATGTGATCGGTCGTCATGGCGATCGTCGCGACGCGCACGAGCACGGGGTTACGCGGATCGACTGCCTCCAGCTTCATGCCGATCCGGAAACCGTGCGGCGAATGCTGCGAGCGAGGTAACATAATCACATAATACATATATAATCTATATGCACATATATATACGTATTATATACGTGTATACATAATATACACCGTCATAATGATCGCTACAATTTTTTGAGAAAAAATCGAGAAAAAATCGAGAAAGTAATCATTTGAGAAAACTACAGGGTAAAATATAAAAGGGTGAATTATAATGCGGTTAAATTGCGGCATTCGAGTTCCTTTTTTTCCATTTTAGTCGATGATCTGGAAACGGTTGGGCAGATACTGCAAGCGAGTGAGCATAACCAAGTCTACGTGCAATACACTACATACAAATTCGTTACATTTCTTTCGGCCACAAAATGTTAACTATGGAAATATACATCGGGTGAATTACAACAAAAGAAAATTGCTGCATTCTCGTCCGCAGTCTGCCACTCTGTCGACAAACTTGACACCTAATGTCAAGCGTTATATGCCACGTTACTTATCCCCAGTGAATCGACGCATGTTCACTTCGCTTCAGACTCAGACTAGCTCACTTCACTGAGGCCACAAGAAAACAGTGTATTATGACAGGTATTCGCCTGCGAGTCAGTACCTGCTTGAAAGCCCTTGCCGGAGCCGTTATGGAATTGCTCTGCTTCAAATACTTCTCCCACGTGAAATTCTCTATATCATCGCAGTCTGAAACGATTCAACGATTTCCTTCAGGGGAGCCTGACGTTTGATACGCATCATTCGCCATTCATCAGGATTTGATGAGTTTCACGTTACACACATGACATCCCACAAACACGTCAATATTACCCAGCGGGTTTTTGAACGGATAAAACAATTATCGAACAATGGTAGCTGTACTAATGAGTAAAACTGACACAGACTAGTAAAAATGGGTGAACATGCTAACATGAACTGACCGTTTGGCGGTGATAGCACGCGGCTATTCTCCTGGCACCAGCCTACGGGATGGACGTAAGGCGACGAAGCATCTGCCCAGTAGTCATAGCAATCCTCCCATCCGTCGAAATGGATGAGAAAGCGATTATCGAGCACGTTTGCTACCGTGGCAACGCAGGTAAGCGCCGTATTCTTCTTGTCGACTGCCTCGAGTTTTGAGCCGATGCGAAAGCCGTGTGGTATTACAGACTGTTGATGAATAAAAGAGCTTGCGGTGAGTGCGGTAGATATAACAAGACACTTGCAGTACTGACACTGAAGGATGTAACAAATGACTGTAGCAGTAAAGATTATAGAGTAACACAAATTCACTCTCCAGTATCATTATTCTAAGATTTCAGTTTAAAAAGATTACCGTGTTATGTTTGACGCTGAATAGATGCCTTGGAGCAGAGGATGCTTTGATGGACTTCATATAACAGGACCAGTTGAAGGTCTCACTTACGTATCCTGGTCAGAAATAGGAGGTTAATGTATAGGATACACGTACATATTTTAATGCGAATGCACCTACCAAATGTTTGATAGAAATGCCTCTATTCTTTTTTTCTCGAGCAGCATATTGTAATACCTTTTGGTGGAGACAGATTGTGACCATTCTTTTCACAAAAGCCCACAGGAAAGACGTCAGGAGAGTCTGCATTTACCCAGAAGTCATAGCACTCCGAGTAGCCATCAAAATGCAGCCTGAATCTATACCTGAGGTACGAAAAAAACACCACCATGATGACCATGTGCACAGCTACAAATATGTGTATTTACATAAATGTTAAAATGCTATATATAAGTTAGCTCTACACTACTGGAAAAAAGGACACAAAGTAAACTTCCATGGTTAGATTGGCAGTGCCCATAAAATGTATATTTTTTCAAAAACACTATAACTAATTTCCCAGTAACTGTTGAAGGGAAAGCTTTAAGTACTCGCAGCTACACACATATATTTGCACATGAGTAGCGATTTATCCAGAGGAAACTGCAGTTATGCTGAGGCAGCACAGGACGGCAGACTTTGACACGTACCCTCTAACCTCTGACACACTGACCACACAGAATAGCGACTGATGCTGAGGATCTATGGCTTCCAGTCGCATACCTAACCTGAAGCCATTCTTGTTCGTAGGAAATCCTTGATTCTAGAAACAGAGAAAACGAAGACTTTGCCACCAAAAGTATCACAAATACAAACAAACATGAACAAACAAACTTCCTCGCACAGTTCCATAGATACACACATGCCTGTTTCTTTCACCCCTATCTATCACACACGTGCATACACTCTTACACAGGCACATACAACACTCATACACATGCACGACTCATGCATGTACACACTCACGCAGGCACGCACGCACGCACACACACAAACAAACGCATACACATACATCGCAAATCCTCCCGACTGATCCACGTCAGAAATCCTAGTTGAGTGCAATCAATGGAGGGAAAGCCACAACAGACTCTACGTTCACACTAACAACTACGACGCGGCAGCACAACTCAGCGGATGCGATGGCGGCACTGACAGTGCCAAGCCAAGACCTGACCCCCCCTCTACCTCGCGAAACAGCTTCACTGGTGCAGCCACAGCCTTCTCCTCATCCAGGTACTTGCTCCAGAAGAGACTCTTCGTCTTCTTGCCCAACCTGCGGACGCCTGTGGATTCCGAACCCGCGCTGCGGTCCGATTCCGCTCCGAGATCCAGAGAGTCCGACTTGGGTACCTTGATTATCATTTTCAGGTCCCTGCTGTCCTTGACCTGGAAATCCTGAAGATAGATTAGAATCTTACCAGGGCAACAGCAACTTGTGCAGAGCTGGCGAGTCATCCGTGCGTGGGTGCCACGCCTAATGCATCGCTAGTTTTTACTGGTTTCCTGCTCATATCCTTAAATTACAGTGAGGACAAGAAAAGCAGCTAGAACAACAACGTTCAGTTGGCTGTCAGAAAGACTCGTGTTGCCACGTCAAACATAAACAAACTTTGGAAAGACTAATTGATAAAATTTAATAAATAAATTATTTTTGGCACCAAAAACTACAAACTCATACACATTCACATGTTCACATATACAATGTATAACAAAGGACTTGCATTGCTAAGATAGTTACTTGTGGTGCGTTTTTATGTTTAAATATATTGATTAAACATATAGTTATCTTGGCATGTATGACATCACTGGAGGAGTGAATTGCTCATCAGGCTAATATGGCCATTGTCTCTTTCCTGTCCCTAATTTCGATGATGAGCTATGGAGACAGAGCCAGTATAATGCTGCCAACTTCAAGCAGATGCATGCCGTGCATGGAGGCATCCCAAGACTCCAGTCAAGACTGTGCGTGACGAAGAAACGATGCACGACTCACACGCTTTGAGAACGCGTTTCCCCCCTTATGTCGACTCTGGCTGAAATGGCCTACGTGTTCCACGTACCTTTCCTCCGTAATCCATCGACTTCTTCTTTCGTTTCCGTGCGGCTGCTTCGGACTGCGATCTTTTCGCCGCTGCAGATTGGGGATCCTCATCGTTTTTACTGGGAAAAAACGAATGCTGCCAATCATCCATCGACATCCAAAACGACAAGAACTGATACGGTAATACCTGTGTCATCGACACCCGTCTTAGCATTTTAAAAAGGACAAAAAAGTGACACTCTTAGCATTTCTCTTCGACTGGCCCTTATATGCAGGTTTGACCGTACCGGTGAAAAAGTTTTTTTTAAAACCACGGCGGCAATTATTTTAATTTTTACATTCCTATAGAATTTTTTTTCAACTTACAGCAGATTCAATGTTACAAGTTTAACAGAAAACCACAGTCATTATTTTAATTCGTACATTCCCATAGATTTTTTCCCCGCCTTACAACCGATTTAATGTTACAAGCCAAAGAAAAATGCCCCTTTGCTGTGGGTGGGTGCGTGCACACCGCGTACCTGGGCCGGTGCACGTATTTGATGGCGTAGGCGCCAACACACGACATGCTGCAGAAGCGACCAGACTTGCAGAAGTCACTGCGCAGGCCGTACACGCCGCAGTTCTCACAGCAGCAGATCTCGCCCGTGCTGGTCGCCAGCTCAAGGTCAAAGCCCTACAAGAGGAACAACAGCATGAATGCACACACGCGCTAACACGGTGTGTTCGTGAATGACGACGTCGCTACCACAGCTGAGAAAGCAGACGCCGTGACCACAGACGAGATTGCAGGCGTTGGAATCACGGATACAAACACAGATGTTGGGATGGTATGCATGAATGCAAATGTGGTATTAAAATCGATTCCTTAAATTGGTGTTTAATCAGAAATTAATTAAATTGATTTCAAAATTTTAACAGTGAAAGGAAACATTAGGCTAACCTCTGCTTTTCGTGATTTTTCTTTTCCAGTAGACTTGTTGGACTCGGACTTCAGTGGTTTGTTTGTAGTTTTCTTTACAGAATGCTCTGTGGGTTGTATCGGCTTGTCACTCTCTGCTGTGTGAGCAGTTTCAGCTAACCAAACAGCAGCAATTCATGATCACCAACATCAGTATTCCACCCCGTCAACAGCCACAAGATTATTTCAATTCGAAAAACGTTTGAATGAATAATATAAACGAAATTGTTGCATTGCAGAGCACAAAATGACAAATTCTATCCACAATATATATATGATAATGATGTGGCAGCAAACACTAGTTTGTAGCTATATACGTTAATGTATTCAGTGAGGACGGCCCTTGCATCACCATGCCCACCTGTAAAGGGTATGATACCTACTAACGCAGATGGGGTCGTTGTCGTATCAGGTACTACAGATATGTACCCGAGGTAGTTTTAGGTTGTTTAGTATTATGTTTATATTTTTATATGAGGCATGTTTAGGGTTAGGGTTATAGGTTTAGGGTTAGGGTTAGGGTTAGGGTTAGCTAGGGTACACTTCTGTAGTACAAGTCTGGAACACTTTGTGTATACATATATATGTACCTCGGGTACATATCTGTAGTACCTGATACGACAACCCCTTGAGCCCTACTAACGTGTAATAACACTGTATAACACACTTGTTGAAGTAATTACCTCCAGTTATCATTTCTGTTTTGATTTCCTCTTCCTCCTTCTTATCACCTGATGCACTTTCAATGGTCGTTTCTGTGTTATTGGTAGAGGCTGTCTTCTCTTCCGTGTCCATGATCATTTCCATAATGCCAAACTCGTTTAAACAAAACTGTAATAAAACACATGCACGTAAGCAAATTTTGCACAAATTAGTCGCAAGGTACGTACTTTGCAACAAAAAATTCAAGGCGTCAACATACCTTCAGGTTGCTGCCTGGAAGTGTTGCAATACCATCTTTCCAGTCCATGGCACCCACTACATCGAAGTCTCCACCGCCACCACCACCGCCGCCGCCAGCACCAGTGCTGCCACCTGTGTTCTGTGGCTCAGAGCTTTTACTACCAAGATCTTTTACTGCAGAATCGGCAAGATCTTTCCTAGATGTATTTGTAGAGGTAGAAGTAGTTGTTTCGGCTTTGGGTGTCACCACTCCCGTTGAGACCTACATTCAAACCGCAAGTTTACCATCTCGATCTAGCAAAACTACACGAAATGCATCTGGCAATCAGCAGTACCTTACAAAACAAACTTATCAGTAACATCCAAAAGTTTACTCCAAATAACTTTATCTGACAAACAGTTACAGGAAAATAAAGTTAATCTGAGTTAGATCCATAACTTAACTCAGATTAACTTTATTTTCCTGTGAACCATAGAGATCCAATGAAATCTTTTAATCACTGACAAACAGTTAGTTACACACGAGTAAGGTGTTCAAGGACCACAATGTAAATAGGTATGCTAGTCGTGCTTTTTGTGTATATATCCTTGGTAGTTCAATTTTATGAATTCAGAATAATTTTATTGTAAAAAAAAAAAAAGCCTAAATAAATAAATATAAAAAAATGTAAAAAATAAGACCACCTCTGTCACCTGTGTCACTGTCAGTTTTGATTCAATGCTTCCTGTTCTGGTCACCATCTCTATAGGCTGTAGTGGTGGTGGCTCCGACTTCGACTTTGGAACAGCTGCAGATGGTGGTGGTCCACCACTGATGATCTGCAAATACACAAGCCATACCTCTCACTGTTGTGTCCATGTTTCAGCACTTATAATAACCGAGCTTGCAAAGCCAGTTACCGAAACAAGCCCTGCTACGGCAAAGCAAATTCTGATTGGTCGAAATACGACCAAATTAGGTCAACCGTTTATTGCATCCAGCAGTTTGCCAAGTCGTGCAAACACGCCATGCACCTTTGCGTCAATCGAATCCAGAACCCACTATTAATTAACTCGATTCACTACTGCCAAATAACATCGGTTATATTTTCTCAGGAAGGAAGAACTTAACATAGATCGGCCCACACTTACGTTCACCGTTCCCGGCCTTTGGGCAATCTGCATGGCTACTGTAGACACTGCACATGCCGTGCTTGTGGCGGCTGTTACCGGGACCCCGGGAGAGATCCTGCGTGGGATAGTCGCCCTGGCAACAAAGCAAAACTTGATAGCCGAAAAACTTTGCGAGCGGAAAACATCGGCCATCTAATACAAACAGTTGTAAATTACCATATGAAACTCTCTTCATGTTATGCATAATAGGAGGGGAATAATCGGAGAAATTACAAAGGAATTGTATGTCTGGAGAACTCGAGAATAGAAAGGTTATGGAATGAATAGAAATCAGATCTTGGGAACAGGGATGAAGGTTAGGGAATGATTGGAGATCTGGAGATCTTGAGAATAGGGAGACTACAGACATGACAGAATGATTGAAAATCAGATCTTGGGAACAGGGTTGAAGGTTCGGGAATGAATGAAGCTCTGGACATTTTGATAATAGGAAAGGGTTTACAGAACAGTTAGAGACCTAGAAATCTTGAGGATAGGAAGGTTACTGAATGATAAGAAATCTGGAGATCTCCAGGAAAGGAAGGTTACTTAATGATTGGAAATCTGGACACCTTCAGATTACAGACGAAGGTTATTAAACAATAGGAGATCTGTAAATCTGAAAGATGGAATGGAATAAAGTGGAACGGAATGATTGGACACCCGACGATCAGAATAAGAACCACGTGCAAGGTTGCGGAGCGATTCTACTCACAGTATGGACATCGCCTGCGGCCGGTGCATGTGCGCTGCTATCGGATGCGTGCCCGTCACAGGGAGCGGGTTCGCCGACCCCGTGTGCGCGGCGGGAGGCTGAGGCACGAGTCCAGCAGGGATGATGGGTGCGAGGGTGATGGGGCCGCACGGTCCCTGCTGCAGCACCATGCTGGTTACGGGCACCATGCTGGTTACGGGCACCGTGATCGCAGGTCCTCCGCTCATGTACGGCATCCGGCAGCCGCCCGGCGGCGGTATCACTGCACCACGAAACAGGCGTCTTCATCAGGCGCGCGCTCATTTCTACGTAAACAAGTGTCTTCGTGCTTCCACCCGCACGCACGCAAACAAGTGTCTTCATGCTTCCACCCGCACATACATAAACAAATGTCTCCAAGTGCATGCCCGCTTTTATGTGATAAAGTGTCTTCACGCCCCTTTTAGCTTTGATGTGAGCAAGTGCCGTACCGCTCCCGCCCGCTTCTACTTAAATAAGTGTCTTCATGCTCCTGCATGAGTTTACGTGCCCACGCAACACGGCATGTAAACAATTGACTGTTACCAGCACAGTATAAGGCTTTAGCAGGTAACTGCACTGAGAAGTGTCAGCAGTGATTCAAGGTTTGCAAATGAAACTGACAATGTGGACTTCTTCATTCGCATGTAGGCCGGGTAAACTTATAACAAAAGAGTTAATTTTTTTCTAACTACTCTTGTAGATATAGCTATACCTTTAAGTGGTACAAGACCAGTCGGTGTCAACTGGTTAGTTCTGAGCAGGAGCTGAGTTGTCCCTGCCACTGACACAGTAGAAGGCGCTCTAATGGCTCCACTCTGGTTTACCATTTGGGGACGAATCTCACCATTTGATATGGTCAGATTAATGGCACCACCTCCTGCACAGAATAAAATTGTAAGTCAATAAACTTACAAACAATAAGTTAGTTATAATATGTGGAATAGTTATATGTGTTAGAGGAAATCTTGTAGGTGTAATAGAAGTAGATAACACAAGAATAACCCAGCAATAAAATGCCACAAAATAGTGGTGCAATATACTGCATATCTCTCAAATATATGCTGACTCATTTCAACATGGCTTCAACACTTCAACACACAAGGTCAATGAACTACTTATAATGCAACCTGTACAGAGCAAGATCCATGAAGGTGGCTATGGAAAACCATTTCCTGCTAATATTTAATTCTGAACCGACAACAATTACAACTGCAAGTTAGGCACACAATGTTGCAAATCCTTTTTTGTGAGGCTATGTTGCAGTTCAGAATACATATAAACTTTCTTAAATTCAAAGGAAAACATGGTTTCCAAAACTCAATCACTAATTTACTGGTTATGTTGTCCACTTCAGCTCATAAGGTCTATGTCCCCCAGAGTAATATCGGAGGGTACCCTGGGTACGGTTCGATATATCGGAACGTACCCTAGCTGCATGGTAACTATCTGATATGGTTAGGGTTAGGGTTAGGGTCAGGGTTAAGGAGTAGACGTAGGCGACTCCCTAGACTCGTTAGTGGAGTAGGCGAGGTACGGTCCGGCATATTAGATAGTACCAGGGTACGTTCCGGTATATCGGACTGTACCCGTGCAGGATACTTTCCGACAGTACCCTGGGGGACATAGACCCTCTCAGCTATACCTAGATGTATGCTACCTCTGATACAAACACTCTCTCAGGCAAAAGAAAACACGGTCTGCAAAAACCAATCAATAGTTGTTCAACAAACTTAACACGGTAAGGAACAGAATAAATCACAGGCCCTTCAAACTTGCTTCTTGACAGTCGCGTATACCTACAATTAATATCCCACAGCAACTCTACCTATGTATAGACCTTCACCCCAGCACAGGTCTAGAGCTATAACTGCACAGATGTAGGCAGGGCTGCCAACTCTCACGCATTGACCGTGAGACTCATGCATTTTGACCAAATCTCACGCTCTCACGCTGATCTTACAATATCTCACGCACAGCAAAAAAATGCTGAGATATCTCACGCATGAATATCTATCTCTTCATGAATAAAACGCTGAAATATCTCACGCACAGCAAAAAAAATTTTACAATATCTGAAAACAGTCACTTTAGTATGCACCAAATTGCACAAATTGAAGTTATAAAATGCAAAATCTCTCTACCGTGGGAGGGGGGAAAACCCCCTCCCCCCTCGGTCGCTTTGCTCCCTCACATCTCACTCTCACCTATCACCCAATGTTGGCAGCCCTGTGTAGGCTACAGTTCAACTTACTTACCCAGAACGTTAGGGAAGGGTCCTCTTATGGCTACAGGTTCCCTAGTCACTGTCCTAGCCTTCTTGTTTGGCGGCGGAGCTGAGCCGCTGGCTGGTGATTGGTTCGGCGATGCCGTGCTCATTTTCAATAGCATTGGTCACTCCAATGACTGAAAATAATTTAGATAGAGACTGAACATACAAATCATACTATATATCCTATAACACCATGTTCACTTCAACCCAAGTACAGATTATTGAAAATATAAGCGCTAATGGGTCAATCGAATGTTTTGCCATTGATTCTGCCTCTTACGGTTATATTACTGCCCAGCGAAGAATATCATAAAAAGCATTAGACTCATTATGCTGGCGATAACTTTTTAGAAACTTGTCATTATATCAGGAGCTGCTAAGATTTTGATCTAAAAAGATTCGTCGATATTCTGAGTAATGGTATGTGATTATAATTATTATGTACAGTGCATCTAATATATGGATATATTATATTTATTCAATGTGTTAAGTTTAAGCAAAAAACAGGCAATCCCTTCTCATAACATGATGGTACAAACAGGTTCATAAGTAAGCCAGAGCGTGCTGCCACCTAGTGAGGGGCAAACAGCTACACTAAAATCAAGGGGAATTTAAATTGCAATAATCTGATATAAACCACGTGATTTAACCGGTTAAGCATGATCAATAGCCTAGGGTAGCTGAGAAAACAGTCATTACATTTCCATACAAATATCTGCTACTGCTTGCTAAAACACATTTGTTGCAATATATGGTCACCTGACATACCTCTATATTATTACCTCTATACGTTACCTAAATATTACTCGTCTCTCTGACGTACCTCTACATTACCTCTATATTGAGTTTTAGATAACTCCAAATGCTAAGCGAAACTATTTTGCCATCGATAGAGATCGATTCTTTCAAAGAAAAATGTTGGAAAACCTGTGAATGGCTATTTTACACAAACATTCACAGTATCAATGAACAATTATTAAGTTTTTAAACTAAATTTACTGTGCAGACCCATATTTGTGAATGTAAGAAACAGCAAAAGTGCAAATATAGGTAAAGATATATATTCTATACTTTATTATATGCGTAAAATATTTCAAGTTATCGGATTATTAGAGTACGTACTCGGTACTCGGAGAGTACATTATTGGCAATGTAATGTGAATTAATGAACAGGAAATTGTACTTGTTATAGAGCATATATAAATAAGCTCAAGCATTTGGCTCAACTCGATCTATCACTTATCTATATCATTAAAATTTTGAGAAATTATATGTTGTAATATAAATTTTACAAGTGCATGCAAGTATCTATAGTGCACATGCAGTGAAACCATTCTCGTTTGGTTACCATGTAATGATGTATACCACCCACACACATACACACATAATATAAGCCTATTATATATATAATATATATATATGTATATATACATATACATACTGTATGAATCAATTAAGTTTTTCGATTAACAAAATTATTCATGATTTAAGCTTAATTACCACTATTATATATGTGTGTATATATAGGTAAAAGTGTATTCACTCACATTTCTACGACGTGATTATGGGCTTTTAATAGTTTACTATTTACATGATCGCATTATGATGGCATTGATTGGGATATATATTTCAAATTTGAGTGATCACTTATTTACATCCCAGTTTCGATGGATTAATTTCGATATTACAAACCACTACCAATGTATTAAGCCCTTGATTAGGTTTAAAATTAGTTGTGATCAAACAACTACCCTTATGCTAATAACATACGTTAATGCTGGTTCTTTCTGTAGTTTTACATGGTGGTTCCTGTAACACAAGTACTATATACATGGGTGCCAGCCTGTACGGTGTACCCGTAACACAATGTCAAATGGCTGCCCATTTAATATTGGAAAACGCGCGAATAGCACCGGTGTCGAACTCTAACAAACAAAGAACCGTGGTTCGTTTTAACCATATAATATATGGTTTTAGGTTAAACACTTTGTATTAAACGAGTGGTTCTGATATTTTAGCCTATATCGCGGCATATAACGCGCTAAAACGTAAAATAATGTACAAAAAATATCTCTATACAACCTCGTAACGGAGCCTCGTTTTCGATAACGCCGCCATCAGGAAATTTTCGCACAAGGAAAACAAATATATCGCTTCCCACAGCACATTTACAAGGAGATCTCACAAAATATGAATAAGCCTATTCGACACAGAAAATATCAAGGATTATGATTAAATTATCGCTTACACGCGTAAAAATGTATTTGCTACGGAATAGATCACTTTCTCGCGCATACTAACGTGCAAGAGAACTAGTCAGAACTTTTGATCGCACGAGAACCAGTCATGAACTGTTTTCGACTTTCTCTCGCGCATACTGTACCTATTGCTTAACGGTTTGCATCAAAGTAAAGAACAATCATTGTTACGCTGATTTACGGTAAAAACTCTCAAACATAACGCTAACTTCATTCAAAAATTTGTGAAAAACAATAGCCAACTTACCTTCAACGACGCTCAATCGCCGTGAGCTTCGATAAGACTCATTTACATAAACGCAACCGCGCATGCGGCTGATACGATTACCGTCGACACCCCCAGACCTCAAATAATATGAATGATATTCCTTTTCTACTGTGACCTTTTCTATGAGCATAACGTTGCTGACTGTACTACATTTACTTATTGAAATGGAACAGTGTGATTTCGCTGGTTTAATTTCGAAGATGTGTTAAAAATCAACGTTTGTTATCTACAATCTACAAGAATATAATGTAAAAATAAAATCCGCTGATAACGCATATTTGGACATGTATAAGCCACCTTGCCGGTATAATTCGAGGATATTGATTAAGAATTGCATGCAGGATAACCCCCAAATTTCGCATACTCTGATTTTCTAATTGAATTCATTTGAAACCATGATTATTCACTAAATTACTGGCCATTGGAATAATTTATTTCAAGAAGAGATTTGAAATGTCACTGAAATTACGTTTATGTAGCCTAGCGTAGTTATGTAGTGTATGGCGAGCAAGCGAGAAAAATATTATATTTAATATGCGCCATAAGAGGCTAAAACGACTATAATAATTCCATAAAGAGGCACGATAAAATATTCATTAGTAACTTTTAACACTGTATATAACCATCATTATATCAGGCGTGTATAATATAGACGTTCTATATTATGTTTAGCCTGATTATATTATGGTCAATGGTCTTTACATTGTCACATCAAGCGCTTTCATCGTCATCGTCTTCATCGATGATGATGATGATGATGATGATGATGATGATGATGAGGAGGAGGAGGAGGAGGAGGAAGAGGAGGAGAAGGAGGAGGAAGAGGAGGAGAATGAGGAAGGGGGATGCTGCTGCTGCTGCTGCTACTGATGATGATTATGATGATAATGATCATGATCGTAATGATGACGGCGACGATGACGATGATGACGACGACGACGGCAACGATGACGACGATGACGACGACGACGGCGACGATGACGACGACGACAATAACAATTATGATGATGATAACGACGACGAGAACGATATCTATGTTTATTGTGATGGCTACAGTGCATCATGTTGTTATAAAAGAACGAGTGTATGACAATGAGCTATTATACTATATTGAATAATATCATATTATGCTTTATATTACTATTTATATTATTCGAAATATTTACTTATAACAGAGTAAACTATTGTTGTGAATTTCTTAACATTTTGGGGCATAAATGAATTAATAACTACATAAAAATATTACTAATAAATAACTCACAAATAAATTTTCTATAAAAAAATTTAAAAAAAAATAAATAGATAAAATGCCTCCCAAGGTAACTATAAAACTCGTTAAAACCCCAAGTTGCCCTAAAATAATATTAAAATTATATGCTGCGAATTTTGTTTATGTAGTAAATTTCGGCAGATATAGGCTGCACGTATAACTATAGACAGCTATATAATATATATAGTTACGATGTTTGCTTGACTCTGCAATATGACTATAAATTTCAATAAAAGCCAAACTCAGAAAACCAAAAGCCAAGTATAATCAACGATAATATATCATTTTGCTCATAACCGCTAAGATAACACTGAAACTAAGTGGGTGTACATTAAAAGTAATTATGAGTATGTGAGCGTATTTGAACACATGCACTACCGCGTTAGATAACATCAAGAGTAGATAATAGATCTCTATTATGTACTCTTGATAACATTGATAGAATCCTGAAAATTGCCAGTCAGCTAGCCCACCTCCCAGACTGTACGAGATATAAAAAAATGTCAGGAACTCGGTGCTTATTTATGTTTGCATACGCTGTATTTACTGTTGATTAGTTGGGACACAGCTAGCAATCAGTAAGCAGTGTCTTTTCGTGTGGAAAAATAAGAGAGACTGGTCTGCACCGCGTGTGCGTCTGTGCATGGGTGCGTACGTGTCTACGTACGCACGAACGCCAGTGTGTTCGGGAGTATATGTGCGTATACACGTGAGCGTTCGCGTGATCGTACCTGCGCGAACTGCGTGCGTGTTTGAGCGTGAGTGCGTGCGCGCGTGAGTTCGTACGCGCGTGAGTGCGCGCGTAAGTTTGTGTGGTTGCATGATGCATGTGTGCATGTATGCATCAGAATTACAAATGGCGGGGTGAGGCGCATGAGATTACGCATTCATCAGCCGATCATCTTCACGTCTCGGACAGGCTTAATAGTGCATCGCTTCACTTTTCCCCTTTACGCGATTATAATTTGAGCGATAAAATTGCGTCTATTGTGGTTGTCGATTGCATTTTAACAAGAGTAGATAATAACATCTAATTGATTGATAAACTTGATTTTAAGCCGCATTCATGGCAAATCAGAGCCCAGGACGTGGCCTATCTAGGCATTTGCACGCGCACTTATCACCACTACATGTTGCCTCGAAACGGCCTGATAATGAACTTTGACTGCATCCGCTTACATTGTCAACAACTCAAATATAGTAGGGCTTATTATCAAAACATATATATTACTCTAAAACATTGCTCTCGCAAACACAGAACATCGTTAAGTTATGTTTCACTTTATTTATTCTAGCATTCCATTAAAAAAATACGAAATTGGCAAGCCCATAAGGTATTGGGATTAACATATATATGTGAATATTAAACAAACATTACTGATACTGCAAAAATGATGTGTTCATATGATTGATATGATTGATACGTTGATATCCTCATATGAGATTTTCTGGTACTATATATTTTGTTCCGACTGAATACTACAAACCCGGTTTACAAACCGTATACGAGCTATAGAAATGGTCTCTTCGCATTTAAATTTAAATAGGAGTTGTTGCGTTTTGTGCCCGTTTAGGAGGCTAAACCTCACGACGAGGCATAATTGAGGGGGTAACAAATAACAGAATCGCTCGTACTCGATCTTTGCGTGTTTGCCGCGGTAAGAAAGAGGAAAATTACCAATTTTTGGCAAACGATGTGCCAGGCACGGCTCACCAGTCGTAGTTTAAAATTACCAGCGCTTGTTATACAGTAAAGACAGGGCAAACAATGTACTATGGGAGTAAAAGTCGATAAACGATCGGTGTGTAGGCCGTGCTCATGTATCTAATGTATTCATGCGCTGGCCGCCGTTGACATACACCGATACACGCACATGGTTTCGAGCTCTGTACGCGCAGCTATATATATATATATACATATATATATATATATACATATATATATATATATAAAAACAGAAGTCAAGGTATAGAATAAGGGTGTTTAAAGTTTAATTGACGAGCTTTCGACATTACATCTCTTCATCAGGTCAGCAGGCATTGGAAAGCGACAATTCCAATGTCTGCTGACCTGATGAAGAGATGTAATCTCGAAAGCTCGTCAATTAAACTTTAAACACCCTTATTCTATACCTTGACTTTGTTTTTATCTACACGGGTGTTTGTGTGTGACTTTACTTCTATAGATATATATTTTTTATATATTTATACACACGCGGACACACACACGTACACTCGCGCGTACGCACGCACACACGCACGCACACACGCACGTACACACACTCACGCGCGCAGGCGCACACACACACACACATATACGTATACGTACATATAGACATACATACATACGCTATTCAGCCGCCTAAAAGTATTAAGTTGAGGTGTCTTGAGTTGCCTAAAATTTATATACGACGCCGTGGAAAAATACAATCAACGTGTATCAATAAACCGCGCCGTATTGCATTAAGTGGACCTTAAGCGCAAAGAGTAAAGCAACGTTTAAAAATAGGATATCGGTAAGACGCACTATATGAATAGATATAAATGGATAATATGTAATACATATATTATTCATGTATGTACGGGCGCTTTTGGCTACAGCAGATTAACAAGAGATAATATTAGAGAGATTATCATGTATCATGTATTTAGGTTATCATGTATGATATATCGCTCTGATATCATCACGAGCTTCTGGTCGTATTCACACATATTACACATACTATGAAAAGCTAATAATATATTATTATTATATATACAAACTATAGCTTTTCGCCAGATACATAAAGCTATAAGTGGCTCAATATATATATATATATATATATATATATATATATATGCGCGTGTGTGTGCGTGTGTGTGTGTGTGTGAGAGAGAGAGAGAGAGAGAGAGAGAGAGAGAGAGAGAGAAAGAGAGAAGAGATAGAGAGAGAGAGAGAGAGAGAGAGAGAGAGAGAGAGAGCGAGAAAGAGAGAGAGAGAGAGAGAGAGAGAGAGAGAAGAGAGAGAGCGAGAGAGCGAGAGAGAGTGCATGTGTGTGTAAGTGTTGGTATACGTGTATATATACCAAGAGCTCCCATGTTCGATTTCGTTTAGGTGCAGATGAATTGATTCAACCAAGTACTCTACTGTATATCAAACAATATAGCAGGTCTTATTACCACATATACGGTATATAAAAAGCACCGCATACGCGATCTCGCCAGGCTAATAACATAAGGCCCCGAATAACACTATGATATACTTCACATAGTGTCTATAACGATTATAATCATATACGCAAGCTGCCACAGCGAAAATGTAATCGAAGAAATCGTTATTAGAGGCCGGAAGAAAACCTGGTACGTGTATTGGTGGTTCGTACATAAGTAACGACATATGGCACACATACATATGCCACACGCGTACCCATAGAGTAACTGTATCGCTGGGCAATATACGCAGGCAGCTGTTTCATCAATTAACGAGAGAGTGGTGGAGAAGCGTTATATATAGACAGTTTGAATGCGCGTGCCAATTTTTACTCAAGACGCCATATCCCGGTCGCAGCAGACCAATGACGTTTTCGCCCATGAACGTGGTGGCGCCGAGCTGCGTAAACAATCCACGAACACACATGCGCTGCGTTGCTGCGCATATGCGCGCTGCAGGCATATGTCAATGCGAACAAAGGGGTTTATTTCTAAAGCTTATTTATCTAGCGCGAGTCAGAGCCTATATAGCAAGCAGTTTTGGAAAAGGGTGGTTACGGGTATGCATACGTAATA